GGAAAGCTCTGAGCTGACTCTTCCCAATAAGTAAAAAAAAAAAGAAAAAATTCTTAATTCTTTTTCTAAAGGTACTTTTTGCATGTAAAAGTTTTTGCTTCACATAAGATGCCATTTAGTGAAAATCCTCAGTGGATATTGCAGTCAAAGAGACTAGGGATCCAGCACAGTGGCTCACCCCTGTCATCCCAGCACTTTGAAAGGCCAAGGCGACAGGATTGCTTGAGTCCAAGAGTTCAAAATCAGCCTGGGAAACTAGCAAGACTTTGTCTCTACAAAACAAAAAAATAAAATAAAATAAATTAGCCAGGCGTGGTGACATGCACCTCTAGTTCCAGCTGCTCAGGAGGCTGAGGCAAAAGGATTGAGGATTGCCTGAGCCCAGGGAATCAAGGCTACGGTGAGCAATGATGGTGCCACAGCACTACAGCCTGGGCAACAGAGTAACACTCCAAAAAAAAAAAAAAGATTGTGAAAAGGGTTTCTAAGCATCAGAAGAAGGGCTATCCTCTAAGGTCTAGCACGACATCTGATAAGTAGGGGTAAAAGGTGAGGGACACAAACCTAAGTATTCAATATTTTAGAAATTTTAGAGCCAAAATATTTTTCTAGCATTATTTTTTTCTTTTTTTTTTTTTTATTGCAGAGATGAGGTCTTGACAAGTTGCCCAGGCTGGTCTTGAACACGTGGGCTCAGACAATCCTCTCACCTCGGCTTCCCAAAGTGCTGGAATTATAGGCATGAGCCACCATGCCTGGTCCCAACCCCTTTCTAATGTCAATAAAAGATCACTGCTATTTCTTACTATCTTGTATGTGCCTGGCACTTTTTAAAAAGCACCCTGTTAATTATCTTTTGGGTTCAAATGACCAACTCAGGAGGACCATCCCATCTCCCTGAAAAAAGGAGCAAGTGAAAAAAATACATGACCATCAAGAAGTCTCACTCTCTTCAGTGAAGACTGATGGCACAAGTACATGAAGAAAACTGAAAGTTAACTCATGGGCTGTTCCTGCTTTACCTCACTACCTTCCCCACAAATAATAAATAAATATTGGGATGTAAAGTCTTCAAAAACTAAAGTCCACGGTGGGCAACATAACAGGCCAGGGCCAAAGGCAACTGTTTAAATGATAAAGCTCCAAGCATGGTGGGAACTGGATGCCTTCCTGCACCCCTTAATCAAGATTGAATTTCTGTCAACAGGTCTCTCTGAAAAAAAAAAAAAAAAAGGCACATGCGTCAACCACATTCCTCCAAACAAATCAAGCTGCCAAGCAAGAGAATCAGCTTCTCATTTCAAAATTATCTGATCCACCACAGCTTCAGACTCCTACAAACCTAGAAACATTCCGAGTGAGAAAATGCTAATGGGAACCAATAATCCTACAACAGACGCAAGAAAACTCTGTTCCATGAGCCATGAACCAGTTGGGTTCCTTTTTGCTACCCACTATTACAGCCTATTTTTGTTTGCAAAAAACAGACAGGAAAAGGATACACATGATCCCTTCCCTTAAGGAACACATAGTTGAACGGGGAATACAAACAATTAGGATATAGGATGATCTTTGCCGTAATGTGGCGTGAAGAGAGTGCTCCAGAAGTGCAGAGAAGAACGGGGTGACGGACGGTTAGAGAAGGCTTCCTGGTGAAAGTTAAATCTAAAACACACAGACAGACCTGCAAAGTCTACAGATAAGAATGGAACATTGACTTTTTCTGGGGGAAAATATAAATGAAAGGGGAAATAAATGGAAGGGGAATAGAAATGCACATGAAGAAGACTGCAGAAGAAGCAATGTAACCTGCTCCCACATTCATCTGAAATTAACCTCCCGTTGCCTCCTGTCTCTCTTTACTCTCAAACCAAAAATAACTAGTCTTGACAAGCTCTGTAAATCAAAAGGCACAGGTTCAGAGGGGGTGGGAGAAAGCTGCAAGAGAGTGCATTCTAAGCAGGGCTAAAACAGTGAACTAGTAGCTACGAAGCAAAACAAAGACCAGTATGATAGATGCTCTCAAGCACCTCAGTGTCCGGCTTATGAAATGTGACTTGCCTATTTCTATTAAAGGCAATGTTATGAGTTAAACAATTAGTAATGTATTAGAATAAACAGAGTAAGTCAAGATTTTGTTAGAAGTATAGTTAATTAAGATGGTCCCATCATGGGCAATGCTACTTCCCCAGGGATACCCTCTCCAACTTTCACAAGGGATAAGAGATCCTGTTACACTGTCACAAGTAAAATAGAGTAGAGTTATTTTCATCTTACCCAGGGAGAAAATACCTGCATTTTTTTTCTTGTATATAAGGGATTAGCAGGAGTCAGTAAATGGCAACATACTCAGGCCTGCAATTTTAACTGTTAATCAAAGTCACAAACTAAGTCTGAAGGAAGTTTAATGGACTTTGTTTCCACATTTATGTTTGCTAACTTCTATGTTGAAATCGGATCTGTTTACAGAAAAAGATCTACGAAGTTTCCAAAATTGGGTCAATTTAAAATCCAGTGACAATCCCCCACTGTCCAACACTCAGAAGTCAGGACAGGACACTTGTTCTAATTCATCACTGTCCAGAAACCTCAAGCAAATGTATTTTCGCTCTCAAGACTTGTACATTTTATATTGTCGTTTTTTAAGGATTACAGATTCAGTTCTACTTTATCTATAGAACTCAATACACCATAAGCCACTTCTAAATGACTAATGGGACCTGTTTACTTCTAGGCCAAATAATGACACTTTATAGAATACTAAAAGAAAATCTTTGCAGAATCACAAAGAATTCTGCGATTCCAATAGTAAGAAACTGAAAGTGCTTGTAAGGGTTGACAGTGGGGCTGCAGGAGGTTATGATTCTAGTCTGATGGCAATTTATTTACTTTTAGTCTGTAGCTATTTTATACCCTTCAAAAGGTATCTGATTTGAGAAATACACCCCCCGCCCCCCGGTACCTAATAAAAGGGTTTACCTATGGGGTGATAGGGAATGAGGAAGTGACAGACTTGGAGTAAGACTTTAAACTATGTATCTTTATATTATTCTGATTTGTGTACCATGTGAATATATTACCCATTTTAAGAATATGTACATGCGTGCCTATGTGAGCATGCACTGTTTTAGTGGGTATGTAAATCAGCATATTCTTCCTATAGGGCAATTTGATGTTAATATCAAAAGCCTTAAAAATATGCATTATCTTTGACCAACAATTTCACTGGCTGAAATACTATTAAAGAACCATATGACGGAATACCATAGAGCCATTAAATTATACTGCAGAAGACTTTAATGACATGGGAAAATATTAATAAAGTGATTAAATTTTAAAACGTAAAAATTTTTAGTGTATAATTTATTTATTGTATAGAAGAGGTCTCGCCAAGTTGCCCAGGCTGGTCTCGAACCTGTGGGCTCAGGCGATCCTCTCACCTCGGCCTCCCAAAGTGTTGGGATTATAGGAGTGAGCCACCATGACTGGCCTTTTTTTTTTTTAAGTCAGAGTCTCACTGTCGCCCAAGCTGGAGTACAATGGCATGCTCACGGCCACCACAGCTTTGACCTGTTGGGGTCAGGCATTCCTTCCACCTCAGCCTTCCAAGTAGCTGGAACCACAGGCATGTGCCACCATGCCTGGGTAATTTTCTTATTTATTGTGGAGATGATGTCTTGACAAGTTGCCCAGGCTGGTTTCAAACCCCCGGGGCTCAGGCCATCCTCTAGCCTCCACCTCCCAAAGTGCTGGGATTACAAGCGTGAGCCACCGTGTCTGGCAGTGTTTAGTTTTGTTTTTTTAATGAAATAGAGTTGGCCCTCTGTATAAACAGGTTCTACACTTATGGATTCAACCAACTGCAGATCAAAACAAGTGGGGGAAAAAATTGCCTCTGTACTGAACATACAAAGAATTTTTTCCCTTGTGATTATTCCCTAAACAATACAGTATAACAACTGTTTACAAGGCTGGGAAGGGTAGCTCATGCCTGTAATCTCAGCACATTTTTGGAGGCCACGGTGGGAGGATTGCTTGAGCCCAGAAGCTCAAGAACAGCCTGGCCAACACAGTGAGGGCTCATCTCTACAAAAAAAAAAAAAAAAATTAGCTAGGCGTGGTGGCATATGCCTGTAGTCCCAGCTACTAGGTAGGCTGAGCTGGAAGGATCACCTGAGCCCATAAGGTGGAGGCTGCAGTGAAGCCATGATTGTGCCACTGCACTCTAGCCTGGGTGAAAGAGTAAGACCCCCAACTGGAATAAAAAAAAAAAAAACCAACTATTTATAAAACGTTTACAATGTATTAAGTATTACAAGTAATCTAGAGATGATTTCAAATATATGGGAGATTTGCATAGGTTATATGCAGATACTACATACCATATTATATCAGGACTTGAGGGTTCAATAATTTGGTATTCAAAGAAGTCCTGGAACCAATGCCTCACGGACACTAAGGGAATTGTATACGTTCATTAAAAAATTGTTTAGAGCCGGGCTCGGTGGCTCAGCCTGTAATCCCGCGCCTTTGGGAGGCTAATGTGAGTGGATTGCCTAAGCCTGCGGGTTCGAGACCCGCCTGGGCAACTTGGCAAGACCTCATCTCTACAATAAATTTTTAAAAATTAGCCGAGTGTGGTAGTGCGCGCCTGTAGTTCCAGCTACTTGGAAGGCTGAGGCGGAAGATCGCCAGAGCCCAGCAGGTTGAGGCTGTGGTGGCCGGGAGCTGCCACTGCACTCCAGTCTGGGGAGAGAGTGAGACTACAACTCAAAAAAAAAAAAAAAATTGTTTAAAAATCTATCAAAATGTTAGTCACAGTTTATCTGAGAAGTGGGATAGTAAATTATTTTATTTTTGCTTTTCATAGTAAATAAAATTCCTTCCAAAATGTGTTACTTTATATAGCTTCATTAAAGTTATTTAAACACTTATGAAGTTGACATATTAATATTTCTCTCATTTCTTTTTAATGTGACTCATTGTGGACACTGTCTTACCTGTGATTTAATTGGTCTGTCAGTCCACTTGCTTTCAGGCTTGACACAAAGTAGAAATGCGCTCTTTCACCTCTTTTCCGAGTTCTTGAAATATGGCATATTCTTATCAAGAAACTGGAAGAAAAAGAAAGGTAATTAAACACATTCAAGTTCTCTGATAAAAAAATAAAGAAAAAATAAAAATGACAAATAAAATTATTTTTTAATTTCCAAAGTAAACTTCTAAATACACTTTTACACCGTTCTCACTAATTTTTCATTTATTTCCCCTTTACCAAGTTTCCCTATGCAAACAACAATAAAACTCTCCAGTAATCTATTCATTTGTTTCTTCACAAAGTACCTGTTCATCTCGTTCTTAAATACAGATCTATTCACAAAATCACTTGGGGTTTTCAATCCCCCTATAGTCAATTCTGTTTTTTTTTTTTTTTCGAGTTGGAGTCTCACTCTGTCGCCCAGACTAGAGTGCAGTGGCCGCTCCCAGCCACCACAGCCTTCCAAGTAGCTGGAATTACAGGCGGGCACTACCACGCCCAGCTAATTTTTTTTTTATTTTTTGATTTATTGTAGAGATGAGGTCTCGCTGCCCAGGCAGATCTCGAACCCGCGGGCTCAGGCAATCCACTCACCTCAGCCTCCCAAGGGCGCGGGATTACAGGCTGAGCCACCGAGCCCGGCTCAATTCTGCTTCTGAACTTTACCCACAGGAAAGAAAATTAAGTTTGTCAAAGGGCATTTAAATCTCCCTCCTTCTTTCCTCCCCAGGAAATAAAAGAGAATTAGGGGCCGGGTACTATGGCTATCCCCTGTAATCTCAAAACTTTGGGAGGCAGAGGCAAGAGGATTGCCTGAGCCCAGGGGTTCAAGACCAGCCGGGGCAACTTGGCAAGCCCTCATCTCTACAATAAATCAAAAAACTAGCAGGGTGTAGTTCCAGATACTTGGGAAGGCTGAGGCAAAAGGATCACCTGAGCCCAGCAGGTCAAGGCTGCAGTGACTGTGAGCAGGCTACTGTACTCCAGCCTGGGTAATAAGGGTGAGACTACAACGCAAAAAAAAAAAAAAAAAAAAAAAAAGATAGAATTAGGGAGGAACCCAGGAAAGGTTGAAGAAAAAATAAATAATGGATGAAGAAGAACCCTAAACATTTCCTGGTGCCTAAACAAGAAATGAGGAAATAACTTTCCCAAATAACATTGGACAAGCTTAATCGCAACTATAGGATAAATTAATTTTATCAAGATTGTAATACACAGACTTAAGCATAAGTCTGGCCAAAATAACCCTACTTTAAATAAATTAAAAGTTTAAACAAACGTACCAACCTAGCTGCATACAATCCAGTTTCTCCCATTTGCATTTTTGTAGTCAGCTTAGATAGAGCCTTCCTGCCCATGCAAAGCTATTTAGGTGACTCCTGTGCCCAGGACTGTTCTAGTACCCGTCTAACCAAACTGCTAATCACAAGCCAGGCAAGGGTGGCTTTTTGTGAGGCAGAAGAACACAGATTGTCTCCTGATCTCCCTCAGCTCTGAACTGCCAGGACATTCGCCATACAAATCACTGGAGCACGCCTGCTGTTTCATCTTGCTGCCACTCTTCAATTTGAAACAATCCTTCTGTCCCAAATGTCCCAGAAAACACTTGACACATCATATGTCTGCATACCCACAGTACCTAACACCAATCTGAGTACACAGTATACCGCCAGGGTCATCTAATGGGCTAAGCTAGCTGGAAGCCACATATATCCAAGGGTACTCAAGTCTGATGGGGCGGAGTGTGGCTTGAGAGGTGGTGTGATACACTGAGGCCACAATACAAGAATATCATCACTACAGCAACAAATAGTCCAATTTTTTTTTCTTTTTCTTTTTTTGAATCAGAGTCTCACTCTGTTGCCCAGGCAGGAGTGCAGTGGCATGCACACGGCCACCACAGCCTCAACCTGCTGGGCTCAGGCCATCCTTCCACCGCAGCCTTCCAAGTAGCTGGAACTACAGGTTACCACACCTGGCTTATTTTTTTTATTTATTGTAGGGACGAGGTCTCACAAACTTGCCCAGGCGGGTCTCGAACCCCTGAGCTCAGGAATTGCTCTTGCCTCCCAAAGTGCTGGGAAAACAGGCTTGAGCCACCACACCCAACCCAAATAGTCCAATTTTTTTTTTAAGTTGGAGTCTCACTCTGTCGCCCAGAATGGAGTGCAGTGGCCGCTCCCGGCCACCACAGCCTCGACCTGCCGGGCTCCGGCGATCCT